GTCTGTTTACATGCAATTTTTACGATTAAGTGTTTCTATATAGGGAAGTAAATATGTCGAAAATCGATCCAAATACACTCATCTGGCATTCGGAGGATTGAATGTTTCACTTGAAAAATCGGTTTTAGTTACATTTCCCACGACATTTTTTCATCATCAGATTTCGATTCGAAATACTGTACAAATATGTCGATACAAAGTTTTTTTGTGTTAGAATTGATCGGCGAAAAATGTTCTGTCGTTTGATACAAAGGGAACATTTCTTCTACCACTAGTAGCCCACTAGTGAGCAAAGTCAACTTGGTAAATGTAAATTTAAAGTTTAGCGAATGTGACTCCGTTTCACCGGCAATTGAATTGTTTTGCCCATAAAATTACGTTGAAGTGCCCACCACTTGTCGAGTGGTGAGAACGGGGCGCGCGTGTGAACGATTCGTAAAACACTCGATTTTCAACCACTAAAACCATAAATGTTCTTAATCGAATAGCCATTTCAAAGTCCGTAACATTGCATTTTTCTTTTGATATGAGAATTATTTTCAAGAATAATTCAAAATTCTTGGGAAAGAAAAATTCAAGCTCTCGGTTTTCTTCTCTCGATTGTAACAATGAAACCAAAAATAAACTGAGTTCGAGTGAAGAAAGTGAGTGAACGCTCGCGCACACACTCGTTATGCGTAATTTATATTTTTTTTTTCTCCATTTAAGCTATTAAGAACACTTGAGTAATTTATGAATATAATTTCAACAATGATCAACTTCAATGGTACTCATTCGCTTCCCCTCATTGCCATCCAAACGGGAGATTTGCCGCACGGTTTTATGCTCACTTCGAGAAATTCGTCCAAATGAATTTACTTTCCGCATTTCAGAGCTGCGATCCGAAATGCCAATGAATTCCGACAGAATGGAAACAAAAACAGAAAACACACAAGGAAATATCAGGCGAAACGAACGAGAAAAAAAAACATAAAATCTCGGGGTGTTGTTTACCAAACACATTTATAAAAAAAAATGTGCACGAAAAAAATCATATTTCTCAAGTGCTGCCAGTTGTACAGTTTCAATTTTTTTTTCGCCTCACCTCCCTTTCCTCTGTTGTTGCCATCGTTAAGATGTTGATTTGTATATTCAATCAGACTTTTTTTTTTTTCGTTTACCGATTTTTTCCGTCTCTTTTTCAATGTAGTGCCGTTTTCTGTCGTCGCATTTTCAGAAAGAATTCCGTATCGATTTTTCGGTTTGTCTCTCTTGCCAGGGTAGTTTTTTTCGCTTCACTGAAATATATTTCGACGATGACGGCGGCGACAACAAAATAAAATCATTTGCATACGACATTCACTTAGCACAGATTTTCCGTCCAAAAGTGACGATAAAGCCTTGTGTGTCTCTCGTGAAATCGGTCAACGTGTTAGCATGAAGATGGGAAAATCCCCATCGCACCTATACACGACGTTGATGAACTACCAAATTTATGTCCTCCGGATGCAATTAACAGCAATAAACAGACAGTTTGCGCGCGCGAGAGAGAGATTGCTAATTCAGTTGCATGCATATTGGGCCGTCTCCAAAAGTGGTCACTCTTCGTACATCGCACATTCTCAATCGTTTATATCGAACCTATAATTTAGTACTCCTACGGCTGATGCTGCTGTGGCTGCTGTGAGAAAAACAACGAATTGATTAATTTTGGGCACGTTTCATGGACCCATTTATCGCACATCAAAGAAAACGGAAGCAATGCTTTCACCGAGAAAAAAGACAAGACAAACACGGTCCCCAAACGGAGTTCATTCGGTCGAATAGCCGCAAGTGGCAATTTTATGCATTCATTATCATCGTGCAAATCGGTATCGGCTTGACATTCAAATGAGTTTGTCCGGCTGAAAATGATATGCAAATTGCTATGTGCAGAAGCAGCGTTGAGCAGTCAAAAATCAGCAGCTCAATCAATTTCGACGTTTTGAGCACGTGCATCAATAATTTTCAACACTTGATGCAAATTTTTCACATACATCACTTGATTCTGTTCAGAAAATTTGAATTGAGATTTAAAACGTATGCAATTCGTTGCTTGTTTTCTGCTCAACTTAAAAAAAAACACACAAAAAAACAAAAAAATTTCCTTCCGTATCGTGTGTGACAGAGCCATGAACGAGGAAATGAAAGTGAAAACACGCAAATGTTTTTCTTATAGCGCTTACACTTTTCCGTTCTTTTTTTTTTTTAGTTCATAAAAAATCGATTTTTCTTCGTTGCGTCGACTTTTTTCTCTCGATTCAATTGCCGTCTTGCGCCGTTCGAAACGGATGAGACGCAGGAGAAAAAAAAAACGTTTTTCTATGCAATGAAACGATGTCTCACATAAATTATTGCTGTTATTTTTCGGCAGTGGATTAATAAAATTTAATTGTTTGCATTTGCTTGCGACATTTAGACATTGACTCCGCCTCTCACTCTCTCTTTTGCTCTTGCTCACTGAGCGCTTCTCAATTCAGCGTCTACACAGTTGAAGTGTGTGCGCTCGCTCAATGTGTGTATTTGGTCGTCAACACAATTTGACAAACCCACAAAATTATCCGTTCTTCTATCAGGCATACAAATACACTCATACATTCGCTTCGCTGTTGTCGTCGTCGTCGTTCGACAAGCAGCAGCAGTGGCGCACAGTAACTCATACACACAAACAAGCAGCCAAATGGAAAGTAATGTTACAAACTAGAGTCTCGAACGGTGTGTTGTATATAGAAAAAAAAAAACACGACCGTAAAGAAGAGCAAGAACAGCGTTTGCTGTTGGATAATGCCAATATGTCAGTCAGGCGCTGTCTTATCGATGCAGCAAATTGTTCGCTTTTCAAATGTTATGTGTGCACCGCAATAAAGTAGGAAATGTGAGAGAGACAGATACAGTCTCATACGCCTTATGAAAATTACCTTCATCGCTATTTCGAGAGCAAGAGCCCGAAAGACATGGAACAATAGAGACAGAGAGTGACAGAAGTGAGACCGAGCAAGAGAAGAAAGAACGAAAGGGATCGGGGAAAAAAAAGAGAACGCAACACAAAAACACATCCGAGTGCCCGAAGAGCGAACAATGTTTGTGATAACGCTTTTCCATTTAAATATTTAATGCGATTACATGTGTAACATATTTGCGTAATTTAATATGTTTCGTTATTGGGCATCGCTTACTCACTCAACGATCGATCTATTGGATTGTATGGCGCTTTGAAAGGAACGCTCTCTCTCTCTCTCTCTCTCTCTCGGTGCTGGTTTTTTTCCTTCTTCTCCTGCTGTTGGTTTGACATTCGATTACGCTTCTATATAAATATATTCTACTGAACGTATAATTACAGCGTATACGGCTTTTGTCACCGCTATTTATATAGATTTTCACACGAATCGAATAAATATACGCACATGGGTGCCCGGAATCAGATTGAACAGATTGCTGAAAATACAATTAAAACCATGGAAACTATTTTCTGGTGTCACCTTTATCGTGCTACCGAATCAAATACCCCCGGCTCAAGTGTTCCACACTAGTCGATCGAGTGCGAGAATTTGAGATTTGCTATTGGTTCGCTCGGTGTGCGTGTGTTCGCCATACATTCATTTATCGTAATCTTAAATATAAATAGGCCCATCCATCGATTGTTTGGTTTTTGTTCGACGGCGCATCTGCACTCTATCTCTCTCTCTCTCTCTCTCTCTCTCTCTCTTTCTCTCTCTCTCTCTCTCTCTCTCTCCGCATTCCAATCCCAGGATTCATTGTTCATTCGAAGTCATCACCTCATCCCCCATCCGACAGAGGGAAAAAAACCATCGCACCAAATTGAATCGGTCGTTAGAATGAACTTTGATGGTGTATATATGTGTGTGTGTTTTGACAATCGACTGTTGTTTGCAGTCGTTAAACATTTCAACTGAGTTGTAACAGAATTTCGGATAATTTGCCCACAGCGCACCACCAGCAAAAGGGTTGCGGATTTCAACTCAGGCATCGTAAATCAAATAATATTCAATATGTGTCTTTGTGTGTGCATTTTGGTTTTTGTTTGAGTTTGTAATAATAATCGAGCATAGAATGAACATGAACGTACACACACACACACACACCATCAACGGCCATCAACAGTAACAGTTCATCATGTCAACGACGATGCGCTTTGTGTATGCGTATGTTTGTGAGAATTGTGTTTTATTATTATGTGTACTCAATTTTCATTGTCGTCTTTTCGTGTGTTGGCTGCGTGTGTAATGCGAGAGCACATATCAGCAGCACCGCATTCCATGGGCGCGGGCTCATGAAAAAGGGTTCACAGTTCGTGGTCCAAATTACTGCTGGTTTCGCAAATAAATTTGATTATCATTATTTCAACTATTCGCAAGGGGGTGATACTGATTTGATTTGCTCTCTCTCTCTCTCTCTCTCTCTCTCTCTCTATCTGCACTGTGTGCCTCGCATGCACAATCATTTCAGCTAAACTCTCGTTTCTTTTGTTCAACAATTTGAAAATTTTCTGCCTAAAAACGATTTAAAACTTTCATTCGATTCAGAATAGAGGATTTGGTTTCATTTTTTTCCTTCAAATTTTTGATATGGTCGTTTTTATTCGCAAAATATCGAATGGATTACACGCACCGAATTCTTGGTTAAACACATGAATCAAGGGTGAATACAATTTATGATGGCTTTCTGACTAGATGAACGGCTCTCTCTCTCTTTTTTTTCTCAACTCCCCGTCGCTTATGGATTAATTTGAATCAATTTTAACCAACGACGTAAGCCCAAGTCAAACAACCGATTTTAGTATTCATCTCGCGAATGCGCTTGATTTGATTACATTTGCATTATTTTCACCACCAAATTGAACGTATTGTTACCATTTGGCAATGCCAATATTTCCGGTGTTTCTTTGTCGTGTATAATAATAATCTTACTTACATTGTTGGAATGCATGATTTCATCGATTTTTTTGTCGCTTTCTTCTACAGAATGAATCAGCCGCTGTCTGGATCTGGTGGCGGATCACTACGTTCACGTCAAACCGACAACGCATCACCAACACCGTCAGATGATTCTGATTCGGATATTTCGCTGGGAACACATTCGCCCGTTCCGAGCAGCTTATCACTTCAACACAGTCCAGGTTCAACGTCTGGCGGCGGCAACGATGATCGCTTGATGCACGATGATTTGCAACGTGATCGTGAAAAAGATTTTCGTACCTTTTCACTGGGTGGATTCTCGTTCGATGCACATTCGCCTGCTATGGCTGGTAAGTGACATTTTTTGTTTTCAACTTGAAAGTCTTTTGAACGGTTCATTTACTATTAAATAGAAAACAAATCTCAGTTTTCCTCAAAAATTTTTCTATTTATTATTCATTTTTTTCCATTAAATTTAATAATAATAATTCAATGTAACCGATTTAATTTTCAACCAGTTAAAATCCAAAATTTTGTTCCAACTAATTTACTAAGAGTCTTCGTTTTTTTCGTTTCTCTTTTCCCTTTTCTTATGTGAACACAGGTGCATTTAGTCGCTTTTTACCCACGTTGCCTTATCCATTTGTTGGCGGTGATAATTCGCCTCCGATTAGCACGCATTCACCTCCAGCAGCAATTGCAATGACAAACATTGGAAACGGCAATCGAATCCCGTTGAGTGCCCGTGACTCTCGCGACTCAATCGACTACATGAACACACCAACGGTAGTTAGACCGCAACCACAATTACCATCGTCAGCAGCTACCATTGCCGCCGGTCATTTACCAAATGGTACACCGGCAACACTGTCTCCACTACGGATACGCGTCAGCTCTCCGAATCGCATCAATTCAGATTTAACATCGGTAAGTGAAAGAGAATGAATCATATTTAAAATTGAACCAACCATTTAGTTAAAAGTTCTTTTCAAATTAGTCGAAAAAAAATCATACTTTTGAAGTTTAAGACTTTTGGAGATTTAAAAATTCAAGCATTCTATTACCTATAAATTGTTTTTTCAACCAAACTTCAATCGCATATGTTTTTTTTTCGGAATCTTTTCCTCGAAAAGAACTAAATGGTCAAATCACTGAAGAATTTTGAGCTTTACATAAATCAACTAAAGTGAACATGAAAGCAAAATGGTAAATTTGATTGGCTGCATACTAAATGAAAACGCGCAATTTTCTTTCTATTATTTTTCTCTGTGTACAGGGTTTAGGCTCAGGAACGACACCCACAATGCCCACACATCGTACAAATGGAATTGTTCGAATAGTCGGCGGCAATAATACATCAAGTACAATACGAAATCCAACGTCTGGCGCACCGACGTTGCATCGACCATTCTCACCGTCGCCACAGCCCAAAGACACGTGATGTGAGGTGATTTCGCAATAAATCAAATAAGAAATCGCTCGGTTTTTTTCATTGGTTCAAACCATTTTGGCAATTGATTCATCAACGACACAAACAAACAAAGTATTTACGTTTCGAAAGAAATTAAAAACAACAAAAATCTCCGATTGTGTTTTCAAATGCATGCGCACGTTTCAATGAACAACAATAACACAAAATGCATTCAAATTCGTTGAAGTTTGGCAAAAATGCATACAAACTACAGCTATGCGCACCAAATCGGAAGCATCGGAAGGACTTAGTATAATAATTTTTAGTATGTTATTAGTGCGACACAGGAAAAACAAACAAACGATTAAATTTAAAATTTAATTATTGCAAGTATACAGGCATGGCAGAACATGATAAATGAAACAAAAAAAAGACGTATGAATTTAAAAGAGCAGAAAAAAAGCAACAATTTATGCATTCTATTCATTATATTTAAGAAGCAACATATGACGTGGAGGAGAAACCTAGCAACGTGATTCTTGAATCGATCAAAGCGCATTTCGGGCAAAGAACATACAAGACAATCGACGAGATGACAGACAGAAAAAGAGAAAGATAGAGAGAAAACATAGTTTTTAAGATTGTTTTAATGGAAGTAATAGAAGATAAAAAAGAGAATTATGTGAGAAAGAGCATTTTGGCTGCCGCAATATGAGCGTAGATGCCTTTTGTGCATCTGCCATTTTGGCAACGAGCAATACAAAATTTAAAAAAAAAAAGAGAAAAAAATCGATTCATTTTTAACAAAAAAAAAATTAAATAAATAAATATATTTCACTCTGTTTCTTAATTGGCATAAGTAAATTGATATGAAAATTTAGCAAAATTTGTTTCATTTTTTTCCCTCGTTTTTGTGCAACTGTGAGTTCATTGTGTGTGTGTGTGTGTGTTCGACATGAAGCTAAACTGATGGTGGTGGACAATAAAACCGCAAATTTTAATGAAATAACCCCCCCTCTCATTTTCAGAACATCGGTTTAATGGCAATGTCATCACGATTGGAAGAATACGCAACACTATTTTCGTTCAGCAATAGTGTAATTGCATCGTTCAATCGTTGTGTTGCTGTAGTACCAAAACGAAGAAAAATCACTACACAAATTTCTATCTTTTGTGCTCTCGAGCCCATTTTCCATTGTGATTTGTCGTGTCTTTTGTCCACACAATAAAATAATCACATGCTTTCTCAGTTCTTTGTGGTTTTCATGTCTCTTTTTCGCTTCTTCAGTTCATTGGTTTGTTTGGAAATTCATTAATGCTTAGCAAACTTGCAGAGTCACTTTTCACACTCACAAACAAACACATTTTCAACTTTCAAATGGAAATTTCTCTGCTGAACTATTTCATTTTTAGTTTCGAATGAAAGAAAAACCAGCATTTCAGTAAGTAATTCACGTTCCCTCGAAATATCTCTAAACGAATTCTTCACAAAATACACACACAAATGTTTAAGGAAAATTTGACACACACAAAAAAAACCTACTAATGAATTTTCATTTTACTGCATTCAAAACAACAACAAAACAAAACACAAAGTATGTTACTCTTGTATCAATTATAAATATATTACTATATATTATACAAATAACTGGTAAAAATGATTGAAATCATGTAAATAATGTCACGCCAGTCTGTTGTCGTGATGACGAATTAAAAAAAAAAAAAAGAAGTTGTATTGAGAGCTCTAGAATTCTATGACAATGTCAAATATTAAAAAAAAAAAACAAGCTAAAAATTAGTAACAGAAAAAAACAACAACTTACAACTAGACATTTAAGCAAGACTCATGTGTGTTTCAAATAGTTACAGCAACAACAAAAATTGAAATATGTCAAAGAGAAAAACTGTCGCAGGCACAGTGAAATGAAAATAACTGAAATATATATGTATATATGAGGATACAAAATAGCAACGATTTGTTTTTTCTTCTTTTCGTTTCCGTTTTTTTTTTTCATCTTTTCGAAAACATTTTGCAGCTTGAATTTACCAGTTTAGACTCATGGCCCGAATTTCGGGTAAGACCGAACATCAAGTAATTGCATCTCATTTTACACACAAGTTCATTAGCAACGAGACACACCCGCCACACTCCAAACCAACAATCTGAGGTGTAACTGCAAATGAAGCCAGCAAATGGGCCATTTGAAATGCCATGACCAATATAGTTTGGATGGAATTTGTGTTTTGGTTTGATTGTTTCGAATTTCGGATAGAGTTTTGTAGTAATATGTTCAATATCGGTCTGCACTCCCAGGTGTGATAGAATGAAATGCGAATCAAACATTTGAAATGACCAAAAAAAAAATACAAATTGGACATAAGAAAATGGCATGGAGCACCGAAAACTCCAAATTGTACACTACGAATTACTTGTTCGAATCAACAAAGAACCCGTTCTATGCAAAGAGTTGTGAAAAAATCATCCAGAGAAAGCAGAAATGAATGGAAAAAAGAAGAGAGCGAGCGATGGCTTAATCAAAGTCTAAGATCTTTCCATTGCATGGAGAGCCCGTGTCAGACGAATAATCAACAAAAAAAGCACATCACACACGCACGCACGCACATGTGAACCGACATTTAAATGAGATCCAAAACCGAATAAACGACCTAAATCGACTCACTGAACCAAGCGCGTATGTGTGTGTGTAGTGTACTTGTTCAATATTTAAATTTGAGCTAACGATATAATCAACGAAATAATCAACGGAATAAATTGCCCGATTACATGCGCGGCAATCATTTCCAAATCGCGTCATTTTCCGTGATGTACTGCACTGTGAGTGACGGCGGACGGGTGAACGAGTGGACGGATTGGCTGCGATTTGAAATGCGATTTTATTTCTTTTGAACGACAAATTAAGAGATTGACCTAATGGCTGGGGCCGTGTATGTTAAATTACGTTTCATGACCGGCCGAATGGCGTACAATTTTTCGGCATTAATTTATCATAGTTCCCCAATGATAGTTGGGCGCGAGTTAGCAAACGAACGAACGAACGAATGAACGAACACGTTAGTCTGGCCCATTAGCTGGGTGCATTTTACATGGGGTATCTAATGTCGATGTGAATGTGAATGATGGTTGCTCTTTTTTTTCACTGTTTTGCTCGACTCTGATTGAGCGGCCGTGCTTTCGATGCCACACTTACCAATGTCGAATAGCAAGTTGTATTGCGTGATCTATTGCCATAGAGCACCTCTTTCGACACGAAAAAAGAACAATCCGAATGAACGGAAAGAGGAATATTTAAACGGTAACAAAATGACATCAATCAGAGCAATCAGCTGGACGATCTTTTCAACAGACACGTTAAATGTTTTGTTGTTCTTTTTTTCGGCTCATACTTGACGTGGGACGAATCAAAAACGATGATTTTTTTTTTACGTTTTCTAATATTCGAGTGAGTTTTCCGCCTGTTTTCACCAATTCGATGGGATATTTGAATAATGATGATGAATGATGACATTTTTTTTTTCGTCAATTAAACAATATACAACTGAGCCGACGAATCACATTCAATTGAATGGTATTTTCACTTATACATTAAAGTTCCAGTTAAAAACAGCGAAAATAAGTCTAAAAATATTTACTGATTTTTCAATTTCTATTTCAATATTTCAATGCAAGACATGTGTAACGCAAGATACCGAGATGCAGCATTTACTTGAGCACAAAAACGAATTCTGAACGAATTCACCAAGTGGAGCTTCGTTGAAAAAAAAAGTGAAGCTCTGAAACACAACTGAGTAAAAGACGCTAAGCTCAATGAAGATCTAAAAGAAATGACGCTGAAACGATACATAAAACCGTTCGTTGATTGCAGAACAGCGGCACTAAAATTGCTCTCTGCCCCACGTGAAAATGCAATGTCAGTCAAATAAATGTGATTGATTTATCGATGATGGTGCAACAGCGACATAAATCCGCACCAGAATGACCAGGTATGCATTACAGATGGTCGAAGTGCTGTTACCGAACACACATTAAACGACCATTTCTTTCTCTCTTCCAGTCGCTAAACCAATTGTTTCGTATTGCTACAGTTTCAACATAAATTCAAACCAAAAGAAAAAAAAGAACGATGTGGCGCATTCGCGATCGTAATTTTTGTTTCAACCTCCGACAACGCATCATTAAAAATGAATCGAAAATCATTTCTATTACTGTATAAATCATTTCGGTTTATGTATTCAACACCATGGTTTCGGCGTTTCATCCTGGATAATTTATTTGAAATGGCAATTTTGTAGCCAAAGATCGCGTTGGAAATGAGTGAAATGGCGTTTAAATCGTTTGTTTCGGTTCGATTTATCTGTTGTCGGTGGAAATAAATGTCAAAATTTACGCGAATTTTTCTTTCTGCTGTTGAAGCCCACCAAAGTGTTCTTGTGTCGGCAATAAAACGACATTTAAAATCGAATATCACTGCAGAGAAATCGCATAACTCGTATGCTCTGGTGTTAAATTTTCTAATTTTAGAGATTTTTTCTCTTTTGCAAATAAATAAGTTCGTCGGCTCATTCATATGATTTTGAATGTATTTTCAAAACGCTGCCTTTGATAATTCATCAAATTGAAGAATGGACGACAATGTTGGCTTAGCAATTGAAGTCTTGTTCTCTTATTTATGCGATTGTATCGCATTGACCACCTGAATGTAATCGACACTAGAGAGAAAAATCCTCTGCACACGGCACATACATAATGCATTTCAATGCGGAAAAAATAGAAGAAATTATTTACTTGTCACATCAAATCTCGGCAGCGCCGTTTGCCAAAGAAAGGAGGAAATCGAGGAGGCAGAGGGAGAGAAGGAGAAGAGAACGGAAAAAAAAAAGAAAAAAACGTATCACAATCACTTTTGACCACAGAGAGTGTTGGTTTTATTCTCATTCTTTGGAATAAAACCAAACTGGTGGGACACACTGGGCTGTTGATGTTATTGACACTTCTCACCCGAAATGTAATATAATCTGTTATTGTATTTATTCTAGGCATATTGTCACATTGTTAAATGGGTATAATGCTACAAGATTCTTTTTTATTTGGCTATTAAATAGGAAACAATCACTTTTGCCCAGACCAATATTTGGTGGTGACAGTTGGTGCAAACCAAACACTCACACACACACACACACACACACACAAAATGAATTCATCTGATTATCTTGGACCATGCGATCGAATTCATTTAGAGATGGAACAGAAACGATGCACGTTGTTGGAATGAGAAATTTAATTTGGGTAGACTCTGTTTAGAATATTTGTAGGCATTGAAAAATGTTCCGTTTTTGAAATTTCAATCGAAATCATTCGAGAATCGATATAATTTCGATTGAAAAATTGAATTGTCTCACAACTAGAGCTGTCTACATTATGTAGACTACATCAAAATAAATATACTTCCGATATCGAAATTGTCGGTTCTGAACTGTATTGATACATTTCTGCTGAAGGAGAAAAAAAAAAACATGGTATTTTCAATGAAATGCAGCTTTCAAAATTACGATTTAATTTTGACGACCGAACAAAACGTTAATACACATAATCTGTTTTGAGCATTTGATCAGATTGCTATTTTTATGAATTGAATTGTTTAAACCACCACTAGAGCAGAGAATCTGTGCCATTGGTGCCGTTCCAATAATAATGATTGTCGATTAAAAATATCGACACAATATCATTGATTTGAAATTAATGTGTTCAAAATCCGGATCGATGTTCAAAGCTGCTGCTCAATGAATGACAGGCCGGATCATAACACTTCTGTCTAACTGGGACTTTCCAAAAATGTGTTGTTAAAAAATAAAACTGAATAGAAACTAAGTATGTTTTTTTTTCTTCTCTTTCTTCTTTGCCCATTTGGCTGAAAATCGGTTCAGCTCAATGTGCATGAGTCTGTCTAAATCGGAAAAATAAACACTATTCGAATTCAATTCGTGGCTCTTATTATGCAGCTTAATCTCTATGGATTCTTTTCTTTGTGTGTAAATAAGTTAATAGCCCATGCGGCAATACGGTATATGGCATCGATAAATAAGCACGCCTAAAATAACTTCGATTCTCACTCACTCACTCACTCACTCACTCACTCACTCACTCGCACACATGTACAAATGAAAGGAACAAAAACGGCTACTATTTATCGCCTTCGGTGCATTGTTTTGTGTCGAGCTCGAATGGTGGTAGGAAAAAAAAAGAAGTACGAGAAAGGAATCATGCGTCGTTCTTCGTTCATCAACAATGGACGAAAAATTTACTTAAAATCCTTAATAGAACTTAAATACCACTAATTTACCAATATCCCAGTAGATTATCTCTTAAAACCTAATGCATTTCCTTTTGCCATTTGGTTATTATCTCGTTTTCGCCTTTTTCCATTTGATTTCCTTTTTACCATTCCATTCGTCTCGTTTCGTCTTTTTTTTTTCTCTTCTGGTTTCCTTTCACTTTTTTGCTCACACACTACGTACGCAAAGGACTTTGCACACATTTTATTCGGTTGTATATTCTGGAATGTTTAAGATTTGTGCAAAAACAAATGTTTATTCTAAGTAGTTCATGAACAATGGTTGTCGCTTGCTGGATGAAAAAAAAGAATGTGTTTTCCCAAAAACGAAAAACAACACAAAAGCGAAATTTGTGCAGAAAAAAAAAATCAACATATTTTACATTAATTGAGCACAAAAAGCCTTAATTGAATTTATTTCTCGCCCAATCTCTCTCTCTCTCTCTCTCGTTCTGTATTCATTTGTATTAATTGATTCAATCTCGAATGACACTTGACACACGAAAACGCGAAATTTCGTAAAGGTTTTTATTTTGTTTGGTTCTGGTGCGATTTGATACCTCATTGTGCTATGTGATTCAATGAATTATCAAATTATCTCAG